TCGTGTCCTCTGGGGACTCAGTGTTGTGGAGAAGCAGCCCCGCTCCCCTCTCGGTAGCCTAGATGCTGGCGGCTGGGAGGTGAGTCTGGGGCAGGTTCCAGCGCGAGCCTCACTGTGGCCCAAGGCTTGGCAGGGCTTGTGAGGTGCAGCCCCCTTGGAGCGGATCAGTTGCTTGCCCTGGCCCATGTGTAAACAGTGATTTCGAAGGCTCTTTGGCTCCTGAGGCCGCACAGCAGCAGGGCTGGGGCTACGATCCACAGCTCTGCTGCCACCCTGGCTGTTCCCGCAGACCACGTGCCCACCCCTGGGAGGGACACCCACCCTGTCCATTTGTGCACTCTGGGCTGGAAGGACCCCTGGAACTCCCCTGTAGATGTGATGCTTGGGTTTGTCAAGCAGACACCAAATCCCGCCAAGCAGCAAGCCTGCTGGCAGAAATAAGGACCTGGGCGGTAAGAGGACCTGCCCATGGGTGGCCCTGAGGGTCAGAGACCACATGCTTCTCCTCCCCCAGCCCAGGCAGGAGGCCGGGTGGGAATGAGGGGAGAGTACAGACCTCATGGTCCCAGGGAGAGGCGTCCCTGGGCTCCTCCTCCCCTGAGGACCCACAACTCTTTACCCCTGAAACCCGCAGTCTCCAGAGAGTTCCCTCCAACCCAGAGCAGTGTGTGTGGGGGGTCTTCTCTAGGGGAAGCAGAGGCTCCAGGACCTGCCAGGCCTTCCTTAGTTTCACATGCCTGAGACGGGCTGGGCTGGAGACCCAAGTCCCCCTACTCTCCCGGTCAGCATCCAGCCCCCTTCCTCTCCACCTCTCCTTTGCCATCAGTCCCCTTCCTCAGCCCGCTCCCACCCCAAGCTGCTCCTCTGTCCTCTTACTTGTATGGCCGCAGCCCCCCACGCGCACCTGGGCATCATCGATTCTGAACGCCCAGCGCCCGGGCACACCCACGTTGGTGGTGGTCTCCACCTCGGCCATGTCTGCCGTGCGCGAGCCGGGGATACTGAAGTAACGCTGTCCATCGCCCGCATTGAAGCCAGCCTGGGGGTGGGGTGGGGGCAGAGTGAGGGAGGCCAGTTCCCCAGGTCTACAGAGGGAGGGGTTTCCCTGCCCCCACTGTGTTCCTGCCAGGGTCGGCAACCTCCCAGCCAAGTCCTGACCTCAGCCAACCGTTCCTGGGAGCCAAGGAGAGGGTTGGCCCTGGCTCCCCAGCCCAGTCCTCCAGCAGCTCACCTCTGGGCTCCTGGGCCTCCCCTGGGGCCAGGGGCAAGTATGACCCCAGAGGAAGCAGGTGGCCCGGAGGTGAGCAGGGGTGCACACAGCCCAAAGGCACTCAGGCCTGGGGAGCACTGACCCTGTGGCCATCGTTCTGTTTCATTCCCTCCACACCCGGGGTTTCCTGTCAGCTGTGGTCCCTCGGGTCACTGGCTAGGCCAGACTGCAGGGCACAAGGAGCAGAGGACATTTCTGTTGCTGCCACAGCTGTTCAAGGGGACTGCAGGGGCGGGGCGGGGCGGGCAGGGCAACGGGACAAAGATGCCTTCAGGCCTGAGGATGTTTCTTTGTTTTCCGGCAGCGAGAGGCCTCAGGGATGGTCATGGATGACCTCTGCATGGTACCGGGGGTTTGCCTATGGTGGGCCCCTGTCTACCTCATCAGCTCATGACAGTCCTGGCTGTGGGGAGCAGGGGTCCCGAACACAGAGCACCCACTGCACTCGCCTACCTGGGCTGCAATGCCCCCCAGGCCAGTGGCATTGCCCCCGCTGCTGGCGTGTGTGCCTGTGGTCCACACGATGGACTCATAGTTGAAGATGGTGAAGGAGAGCTTGCCGTCTGTGATGAGCACAGTCTGGAATGTGTTGACCTGCCGAGGAGAGGGGGCTGAACAGGGCCCTGCACTCCCCTTGGCCCACGGAAGCCCTGCCCTGTCCACCATCCTGGCACACTGTCATTGTCCACTGGGCCTCTGGCTTGCTCAATGTCTGTGTCTTCTAGCTGAACGAGCAGCCAAGGCAGGACCTTGGTGGCCTCATCCTCTGCTGTCTCCCAGAGCCTGCCACTCAGCAGAGGCCGTTCCCAACCCACAACTGTTGCTGGTGGCGGGTGTGGGGCCACAGATGGGAGCAGACCTTGTCCCCTGCCCTTAGCCAGATCTACACAATCTCCTGTGTGAAATGAGCAAAATTATAAAAAGGAAAAGAGGGAAGGTAAAAAGAACCAAGGAAGAGCCATGCTGCAGCGTTTAATAGGCCTCATGGTTTTCACAGAATTCTACTGCATGGAAATATCGGTGGGCGGCGTACAGATGGGAGACGCCAGATGAGAATCGAGCAAAGCATCAGGACTGTTTAAGAAATGATCTTGGGACAAACAGGAAACCCCCTGAAAAAGAATCAGATCAGAGTCCTGCCTTTCACCACACACGAAAAGAAATCCCAAATCCAATAAGGGTTTAAAGTGAAAGACAAGTCCTAGAAGAAAATACAGGCGAATATGTATAACTCAGGAAACGGAAAGGACTTTTTAAGTGTGATGTTTGTTCACAGCAAAAACCAAAAGGGAGAATTATACATTTGACTGCAAAGGGCTTCTGAATATTTAAAAAAATCCACAAGATCAAACTGAATGGCAAACAGTAATGTGAAAAACGTATTTATAACGCATAGGGCAGATAAAACTTTCCAGACCCTTAGTTCAAGAACTACAGATCAATAAGGAAAAGTATCACAGAAAAAATGTCAGAGCGTATGAACAGACACCTCACAGTAGAAGATAAGTAACCGATAATATTAGAACACATTCAGCCCACTAGAAATTAAAGATGTGTAAGTTAAAAAGTAGCACTCATTGTTTTGTCTATAGAGCTGACAAAGCTGGAAAATGACAGCTGGGGTGCAAGGAAACCGGCGCTTCTAAATGTGGGTCCTCAGAGTATTGAATGTGTAGATTCTTTTTTTTTTCTTTGAGATGGAATCTCCCTCTGTCACCCAGGCTGGAGTGCAGTGGTGCGATCTCAGCTCACTGCAACCTCTGCCTCCCAGGTTCAAGCAATTCTCCTGCCTCAGCCTCCCCAGTAGCTGGGATTACAGGCACCTGCCATCACGCCCGGCTGATTTTGGTATTTTTAGTAGACAGGGGAGTTCGCCATGTTGGCCAGGCTGGTCTCAAACTCCTGACCTCAGGTGATCCGTCTGACTTGGCCTTCCAAAGTGCTGGGATTACAGGCGTGAGCTACCACACCCGGCCTGAATGTGTACAGTTTTGAGAGGAAAATTGGAATTCTGCAGGCGACAATCGCCCTTCTAAACACGTGTACCAGGACAGGATCATGAATAAGCCGACCTGAGCTATGCCGTGCCCACCTCAGGCCCCTGGGATTGCAGCTGTCCAGCCATGGGGTGCAGGTGAAACAAATTCGCATGCTGCCTGGTGCTGGGCTAGTTTGTAGTCACTGAGAAAGATGGGTGATTATACAGTGTACATGCCACTTATATAAAAGTCAACATTAGAGAAACTACGTGCTCTGCTTTAGGAAAGTGAACATAAGTGCTATCACTCGGAAAACAAACAAAGACGTGAGGGCTGCAGAATTGGGGTGGTGGCACCGTCTAGGGGACAGGGTGGACTAGAGCCAGTAAGGGCCCATGGTGGGGCTCTGGGAGCCAGCGAGGCGCAATGAGGAGGTGCATGAAGCTGAACTGTCCATTTTCTGCCAATGAACCTGCTCCTGGAAGCGCCACTGGCTGGGTTATGCTTCTGAGCACTTCCTGATGCCTGGCTGGAGTGACCCCATGGGGCAGATGCGTCCTGTCTGCTTCATCCAGGGCTGTCTGCCCAGTGCCTAGAACACTTGCCTGTCATTTGGAAGGTGCCCTTAAAAAGTGTTTATTAGGAAGCCGAGGTGGGCGGATCACCTGAGGTCAGGAGTTCGAGACCAGCCTGGCCAATATGGGGAAACCCCCTCTCTACTAAAAATAGAAAAGCATGCCTGTAATCCTAGCTACTCGGGAGGCTGAGGCAGGAGAATCGCTCGAACCTGGGAGGCGGAGGTTGCAGTAAGCCGAGATCGTGCTATTGCCCTCCAGCCTGGGCAACAGAGCAAGACTGCGTCAAAAAAAAAAAAAAAAAAGTGTTTATTAAATGCATGAACAAACAGCTCTGAAAATGGCAGCTCTGCACCCAGTGCCTCTTTTCTTGGGAGTCACTGTCTGTCTTGCACAGCCATGATCCAGTGCCCAGTGCAGGCCTGGCCACAGTAGGTGCTGAGTAAATACATCTGCCCCCGGAGTGGGCAGCCGTCCTTGTTAGGGAGTGTCAGCCCACCAGAACTCATCAGGCCTGCAAAGCGGCTGATTATTCTTGAGTCAACGTTTCTGTCATGTTTGGCATTATCAAGGAAGAGTATAAAACAGAATAACCTTAAAGTATAATAATAATAAAACAAAACAAAACAAAACAAAAAAAACAGAGTAACCTTCCAGTTTAACCTTTTGAGTACTGGGCCATTCCAAATGGAAATCCTCCTAACACCTATCAACCCACATGCCTCTCTCTGATGCGTGAGCTGCTGCTTTGGGGAATTTGGTGTTTCCTGGAGGCAAGTGGCTTTCAGGAGCACTGGAGAAGGTGGGGGCCGTGTCCTCTTCTTACCTGTCTCTGTGGTTTTGACCACATGTTCCCCTCTTAGATATGGACCAGTGACTGTACCACACCCACATTAGCAAGTGGGGGCCCTGGTGTGGGGAGACCCTGGGCCCTAGCCACACACACCACCCCTTCCCCCCCAGGACAAGTGCCTGGACTCACAGGGGATGAGGAACTGCCTCCAAAGAAGGTCACTCGGTACCAGGTGGCAACAAAAACCCAGGTGGCATTGAAGTCCAGGAGCTCGGGGAAGTAGTGTCTGACATCCTCCGTGGCTCGGCGCAGCGTGGCTGGGTCGGTGGCCTCCCGGTAGTACACATCGCCTGCACGCCGGTTGTCCACATCTGCCCAGAAGGCTGCCACCACGCAGCGGTCCTTGGCAATGGGGAAGGCCACTGGGGTGAACTGAGAAACTTCCTTCAGGAAGGAGATGATTCCGTTGTTGTTCACCTGGGAGGCAGAAAGCCAGAGCGGGGATTGACTGGGGGCTGTGGGCAAGCGGGTGGGTCCAGCAGCCTCCCTAGCCCCTGCTACCAGGCGTCCTCTGAGGGGAAGCCAGTCTTGGGCAGGGCATCCCCAGGGTGGCCTGACAGTCCCCTGTCCCTGATATGGGTCCAGCATGACCTGTTCCACTCCCTCCTATCATACTGTGTGCTCAGGGCGCAGGCTCTGACCTGCATGCAGTACCTGATGCCCTGCGGAGTGCCCAGCCCTGGTTGGCTGCTGTGCGGGTAGGAAAGCCCCGCTTTGGGTCCTGGCCTCAGTCAGTGGGGCACTCGGGCCTGCCCAGCAGCTACTGCTCCTCAGCTCTGCTCCAGCTGGGGCCTCAGGAGGCCAGACGGAGCCCCAGTATCTGAGCTAAGCCTGAAAGGGTGAGCAGGGGTCACACAAGGTGAGCTTAGGGGAGGGGTGCCCCCACTACAGAGGAGGTGGGATGGCCAGGGGCCAGCATGACTGGGGAGGCTAGAAGGGCTGCAGTGGCCAAGTGGGGGAGCCTGTGCTTGGCCTCCAGGCAGTGGGGAGCCCCAAAAGGTTTCTGAGCAGCACCTCTGCAGTGAGATGCACATGCTTCAATCCTGGCCCCACACTCATGCCACTGGCTGTGCATCCATCCACGACGCAGCTCAGCTGCCGACCTCCCTGTGCTCTGGTTTTCTTACTTACCAGAAGGGGCTATGGCTGGAATGTTTGTGTCCCCCCAAATTCCTATGTTGAGATCCTAACTCCCAAAGAGATGGTGTTAGCAGGTGGGGACTCTGGGAGGTGATTAGGCAATAAAGGTAGAGCCCTGGTGAATGGGATGAGTGCCCTAGTAAAAGAAGCCCCAGAGAGCTGCCTTCTGCCATGGGAGGATACGTAAGAAGACGCCATCTATGGCCCAGGAAGTGGGCCCTCACCAGTCACTGAGGCTGATGACAGTGCCTTGATCTTGGACTTCCCAGCCTCGAAAGCTGTGCAAACTACATTTCTGTTGCTTACAAACCACTCAGTCTAAGGCATTTTACCACAGCAGCTCGAGCTGATGAGAGCACTGGCTCTGACCTCACAGGGTGCTGGGCCCAGGTGACTGCGCCGCTGATCACAGTGATCAGCTCTATGCTATCATTATTTGCTACTGGCAAGAATGTGACCACAACCATGCTTTTAGAAAAGACCCTCTGGACTTCCCCTTTGGGTGAAGCCTGGAACGGGCAATAAGGGGGTCCCAGAGTGGCAGCACCTCTGCCTTCTACACAGAGGCAAAGGAAAACCCTCTCTAGAGGAAGACGGCATTATCTTAGGCCTCAAGTTATTCCTGCAAATAATTTTTCAAATACACAATCCAGGACACAGTCAAAGATAATCAGCTACCCAAGGAAGCATGATACCACCAAGAGAAATAGACAGAAATGAGAGAAACCGCAGATACTGGAATTAAAATAACTAGGTTCAAAGAGATCAATGCAAACTTTAGAATTTTATCAGGAGAATAGTCAAAACAATCTTGGAAAGGAAGTACGATATTGGAGGACTTACACGTACAGATATCAAAACTTACTACAAATCTCCAGTAATCAGTGTGGTACTGGCATAAAGACAGATGTACAGACTGATGGAATAAAACAGAACCCAGAAATAAGCCTTTGATATATAATCAAATGATTTTCACGAGGGTGCCAAGACCATTCCAGTGAGGAAAGGACAGTCTTTTTAACAAATGGTGCTGGGAAAACTGGACATCCACATGCAAAAGGATGAAGCTGGACCCTTACCTCACACCATATACAAAAATTAACTCAATATAGAGCCAAAACCTAAACATAAGAGCTAAGACTGTAAAACTCTTAGAAGAAACAATAGGGCAAAAGCTTCATGACATTGGATTTGGAAATGATTTCTTGGATATTACACCAAAGGCACAGGCAACAAAAGAAAAGACAGAGAAATTGGACTTCATGAAAATTAAAAACTTTTGTGCATCAAAATATACTATTAACAGAGTAAAAAGGCAATCTGAAAACAGAATAACAGAAAATATTTGCAAATCATATATCTGATAAAGGATTACTATCCTTAGAGAGAACTCTTGAAACTCAACAACAAAAAAACCTTGTTTCAAAAATGAGAAAGGACTTGAACAGACATTTCTCCAAAGAAGATACACAAATGACCAATAAGCACATGGAAAGATGTCCAACATCACTGCTATTAAAAAAACAAACCTAGGAAAGTAACAAGTGTTGGTGAAGATGTGGAGAAATTGGAACCCCTGTGCACTGTTGGTGAGAATGGAAAATGGTACAACTGCTGTGAAAAACAATGTGGTGGTTCCTCAAAATTAAAAACAGAATTACCATATGACCCAGCAATTCCACTTCTGGGTCTATAACCAAAAGAATCAAAAGCAGGGTCTTGAAGGGATTTGTATTTGTACACATATGTTCATAGCGTTATTATTCACAATAGCTAACAGCGGGCAGGAACCTGAGTGTCCACTGAGGATGAATGGCTAAATAAAATGTAGCACATCCATACAATCGAATATTACTTAGCCTTAAAAAGTAAGGAAATCCTGGCCAGGCACAATGACTCATGCCTGTAATCCCAACACTTCTGGAGGCTGAGGCAGGTGGATCACCTGAGGTCAGGAGTTCAAGACCAGCCTAGCCAACATGGCAAAACTCTGTCTCTACTAAAAATACAAAAATTAGCTGGGCATGGTGGCACATACCTGTAATCCCAGCTACTCAGGAGGCTGAAGAACAAGAATCACTTGAACCTGGGAGATGGAGGTTGCAGTAAGCTGAGATCATGCCACTGCACTCCACACTCCAGCCTGGGTGACAGAGTGAGACCCTGTCTTAAAAAAAAAAAAAAAAAAAAAAGGTAAGGAAATCTGTCATAGGCTACAACATGGTTGAACCTTAAAGACATTATGCTAAGTAAAATAAGCCAGTCAGAAAGACAAATACCATATGATTCCACCTATATGAGGTACCTAGAGGAGTCAAATTCATAGAGACAGAAAGTAGAAAGATGGTTTCCAGGTGTTGAAGGAAGAGGGGAATGGGGACTTATATTTAATGGGATTAGAGCTTCAATTCTGAAAGATGGAAACAATTCTGCGGGTGGATGGTGGTAATGATTACACAATAATGTGAATGTACTTTAATCATTGAACCATACATTTAAAAATGGCTATGATATTAAATTTTGTTATGTGTTTTACCACAATGCAAAAATTGAGAGAAAAAGATTAGGATAAAAAAAATTAAACAGGAATGTAAATTATTTAATCAAAAGACATTTTAAAGAACCAAATGAATAGGATATAAGTAACTAAATAACAGAAATTAAGAACTGGATAGATTGAAGAGTGGATTTGATGCGTTAAGAAAGAATTATGAACTGAAACTAAAAGGTCAGAAGAAACTATCCAGAATTTTAAAAGACACAAAAAGATGGAGAATACAGAAGAAGGGATGAGACATAATGGAGAACAGTAAGATGACCAAACAAATGCACAACTTGGAGCACCAGAAGAAAAGGAGACACAAAGGCAATGGTGAGTCCAGAACTGATGAAAGACATCAAGCCATATGCAGAACACAGAGTGAATCACAGTGATTCACTAGCTAGAAAAATAAAAACAAAGCTACATCAGACAAATGTTGGAAATGCACAAGGTCAATGACAAGGAGACATTCTTAATTTTTTTTCTTTTTCTATTGCTGCTGCACAAATTATTCACAAGGAGACAATCTTAAAAAGAAAAAAACAGATTACCATTAGGAGCATTGCAAGTAGACTGACAGCTGACTTCTCATATACAACAATGAAAGCTAGAAAACAGTGGAATCATGTTTTCAATGTGCTAAAAGAAAACAACTGCCAACATAAAGTCTTATATCTAGATAAAATACCCTTTACTATGGAAGGCAAAATAAAGACAATTCAGGTAAATACATAATAAATAGCAGACCCACACTAAAAGAGATGCTAACAGATCAACTTCAAGTCAGAGGGAAACGTAAGATCAGAGGTGCAAGAAGGAAAGAAGGGCAAATGAAATATAAAGAAATAATATATATTGCCTTATGAAATGGTGTAAAAAGTCTATAGAATTAAAACTCACAACAATAATATACACATTGAGAGAGGATAAATCATGTTGAAGTGTTCCAAGGTCATTACATTTCCCAGGAGAAGGGTAAAGGTATAAATGAACTTGCTAGTGAATATTAGTAAGTTAAAAGTATATATTGTATTGTCTAGGGCAGTGGTCCCCAACCTTTTTGGTAGCAGGGACCAGTTTCATAGAAGACAATTTTTCCATGGACTGGGGTAAGAGTGCGGGAATGGTTTGCGGATGAAACTGTTCCACCTTACATCATCAGGTATTAGTTAGTCTCATAAGGAGCGTACAGCCTAGATCCCTCACATGCACAGTTCACAATAGGGTTTGTGCTCCTATTAGAGTCAAATACCACCACTGATCTGACAGGAGGCAGACTCAGGTGGTAATGCTCACTCTCCTGCTGCTTGCTGCCTGCTATGAGGCCACAGACCAGTACTGGTCTGCAGCCCCAGGGGTTGGGGACCCGAGGTCTAGGGTTATCACCAAAAGAAAAGAAACAGTGTCCATATTCTATACTGATAGAGGGGATAATACGGCATGATTGGCTGGGCACAGTGGCTCATGCCTGCAATTCCAACCCTTTGGGAGGCTGAGGCAGGTGGATCACCTGAGGTCAGGAGTTTGAGACCAGCCTGGCCAACATGGTGAAACCCCATCTCTACTAAAAATACAAA